CACCAGTCAAGTGACCTCGATGACGCAACATAGCTTTTCATATTCTATCTCATGGTTTGTTTTATATATACATAATCCAAGTAGCTAATTCGTTGTTTCAACACTAAGAGATTGGAAACAAATTACCTAAAGTTATTTGTTTTAGTTTTTTTTCAGTAAACCTGTTTAAAACTTTTTTCTAGACAATGCCATATTGTCTACTAAATATTAGACACTTTAAAATGCAAAACTTTAGGACATAAATCAAAAGTTTACATTCTTTCAGAAAATCAATGTGTTATTTTAAAATTTTATAAATGCTTTTTTCAACATTTCCATAAAATTGTAATGTGTAGTTACCATAGTAACAAAAGTAAAAGCTTTAGAAATATGATTTTTAGACTTCAATATTCCCAAATGTCCTATCTTACCTCAGCATTACCCTTCACTGGTTCTCATGGTATCAAACTAAATGGAAAAGTCAAGAATATTCCACAATTACCTTATCCCAACTCAGCCTAAGAGTGATTTTCAAACCAAATGAACAAATATGTAACATCTCCTTATCAAAGACAAACAACCTCTTTCAGAAAGGTTGCTTATGGTGTATCAACACGTGATCATGCTGTAGGCACGGCTACATTGGATTGATGACATAAACCCTGGTTACCAGAATCAAAGAACATGCTTAAAACAGCCCTTCCAACAACTCTGGAATTAACATCTATCTAAACAAAGAAATCAAACATTTTAAAATAATACACGCAAAAGAGTACAATGAATGGATACTAAAGAAGAAAGAAGCCCTGTTAATTCAAAAAGTGAAACCAAAGCTAAACAACAAGCTAGCAACACTACTGAATCTCAAACTATGATCAACTTGTCATCCCTGGTATGAGAACTTTGAAACCTTTGTCAAACAATTAGACAACAAATGTCAACTGTATCTAAATATGTGATCTTTCACAGGTGTTTCTATGCATACAACCTAAAATTTTTGCCTTAATACTTGCTAATTTATATTGTCTAAAAGGCTTTGGAGACATTGTAATAACTAGCTTAGACCTTTCTTTTCAAATTAATTCTAAAACAAGCCATAGTTTCATTGCAAGTCATTATTAAGGTCTCATTTGTAATACTGTGTAAAGATTTGGACCTTTTGTCTTAGGAAGAAAATTGAGCTGTTGAAGAGGGTTCATTGGAGGGCTGCTATAATGATATTGGAGATGGATGAGTCATTCATTATATGTGGGTAGTGTGGAATTATATTGTTCTCACAAGAAAAAAAAAGGGGAGTGATCTAACTGAAATATTAAAAATTATTAAGAAAATTGATAAAATTTAGGCATCATATTTTTTGGCGTTGAACTCCGAGGGTACTAGAACAAAAGATCATAAATTTAAACTGGACAAAATCAAAGACAAGTTTCCAGGTGAAGCAGTTTTATTTTCTTATCAAACAAATTATCATCAATAAAGTTCGAAAATGATCTGAATGGGTAATGAAGAAAACTTGTTTTGACAAGACTTTTCTATCTGATACACTCAAGTGTTTATATCTGTTGAAGGAGGTTGTGAATTGGGACATCTTAGATGGGTCAAAACTCCTCCAATGCCCTATAATTTATGTAATGGAACATTTAACTTCATTTTCCCTCCGAGGCTATAACTATTCTGACATTGATCATTATGCATGACCCTTTTTTTCATTACGATTAAAAGGTACTGCATTTGCTAGGTGTTAGCTCAGTTTACCAAATCCTTCTGAAAAACTATAGCAACTCTGGAACAAATTTAAAGCTCATTATCAACATCTGAAAATTTGAACAACTTACTGGTTATTCCATTATCAGTGTCATTAATGTAAATGAGAAATGGTAAATTATCAAGAACACAACCCTGAAGTATATCACTTTTAATGTTATTCAATTTATTTTGCCCAATGTATAAGGGCTTTTTGTTTCCTCCTCACCACACCTACCCTAAATCCATTTAACTAGCATATCCAGGGCCAGAATAAGCCTACTATCCATGTAAATTGAACTTCGTATTTTTCAAAGTTGGGAGAGCTTCCAGCTTTAGCCCTGTCAGTCCAAACATTAATCCAGCACTGAGCTACATCTGCCACACTAGATACAATATTCTTAAGAAACATATTAATTTTTGAAGCGCCTTATTCCTAATATTCCGATCTAAAATTGTATTTGAACGCCTGTGATCATACGGAAATTGCCTTAGACTAAATCATCAGTAAATGCTCTTTTACTTGTAGTTGTACTAGCACTCAGTTACGTAGTAGTAGTAAAGTGACTTAGGACAGGTAATCCAGTAAGTCCTACAGTTGGGATAAATTAAAAATATTCATTCTAACTTTATATCATGTACTGAAATAATACCCTGTTTTAAAGTTATGGTACTGTGTTTACGTAATTAACTATTAAACTGATGGATGCTCAGATCATATGGTCAATACTAATAGCGTTATAAGACAAACCGAAAACCACAGAACAACTCGACACATGCTCTACAACCTGTACAAGTAATATAGTAAGGACTAAGTCTCCAGGTTGTTAGGTTCCCGCCAAAGTTATGAAGAGGCGAAAGCAGGTTATAGCATATTATATAAGTCAATTTTAAAATTCATAACAGACCACAGCTGAATTAGCTTAATTATAACAAGTAATAAGACAACTATTTAAACTATTTGTCATAGCAAAAACAATTTAATATATTACCTCAGTCAACGACTCTTCTTTGCCTGTACTGTCCTCTTTAGCATTACGTACACCATTTGCTTCCGCCATCTTTATTCCAACTTGTACCTTTCTCTCTCAGCCCTCTGGCGCCCAAAGTTTTTCGAAGCTATCTAAAGCGGATTATGTATTAATTAATGGTATCGTTAGGCTATAACTTTAGACCCGTACTCATAACTATAGTCTAGGCTTAAGGTTTAAAACTCTTTTAAAAAATGTTAACACACAGCAAAGTTTTATTTGTGAAAGCAAACGGAACACCGATGCAGTTTTATATGCGTCCATCAGCCGAAAAGGAGAAACTGAGACCGTTAATCGAACATGGAGGAGGTGTAGTAACAAGTAAGTTGACGTCTGATGCTTATAAATTGGTAGAACCGGGAAGCAGAGTTCTCACATGTGATGAAAATACCGTAAGATCTAAATATATTGTAGACTGTGTGGAAAGTAATACGCTTTTTAACATAGAAGATTACCTCATCAAAACGGAAACTGAAGATGTTAGTGATATCAGTGATACAGAACCAAATAGCATGAAGAACAAAAATGAATTTATATTAAGCACGAAAGCTAAAAACACGCGTGCAAGAAAAGAGTATTCAGTAGAAGATCAACAAGCAATTATTAATTTCATATGTACAAAAAATCGGTATTCAGAAATTAAGGGTACTCGTTTATGGAAAGACATGGAATCTAAAAATGTATTACCAAGTAGAACTTGGCAGTCCATGAAGGAACATTTTCTAAAACAAATATATCCAAACTTGAAAGCTTTTAACTTATCCAAATTACAGATACAGAAGTTTATTCATTCAAAGAATGAAAAGGGATATCTCAGTCGTGAAAACTTGAAGCTTCATAATCTCGGTAAAGGATATCCTGAAGCAGACCGTCAGTCTTTAGCTGAGTCTGTTTTCAGTTTGGGTGATAAAAACTGCTATACAACTGAAGAAGACCAGAAAATTATTGATTATATTTTTGAAGATGGTAGTCTTGCATATAGAAATGTGAAAGGAACTGTTATCTGGAAAGATATGGAAAGAATAAGTCTTACAAACCACTCTTGGCAGTCTATGAAAGAACGCTTTCTCAAGAGAATAGTTCCAAATATCTCTAAATACAAAATCTCGCCAACCCATCTTCGGCGTCTTAGTACAGTTGTTGACATAAAACATTTACAAAAACTGATGACTGAAACAATAAAGAAGCAGAAAACACAAACTAGTAGTGATGAAAAAACTATTATATCAGAGTCAGAAGATAAAACTCAGAACATAACTGGAACTGTTGACAAAAAACTAGTCCATGAAAAAGTTTGTGAAATCACCTCAAAAGAATGTTCCACTGAAAATCTGATGACTGAAACAATCAAGAAGCAGAAAACACAAACTAGTAGTGGTGAAAAGACTATTATATCAGAGTCAGAAGATAAAACTCAGAACATAACTGGAACTGTTGATAAAATACTTGAAAAAGTTGGTGAAATCAATTCAACAGAATTTTCTACTGACACTTGCCCTGTGAATAATAAAGAATCTTCTGTATCTAAAACAGCCCTTGAAGATACAACTGGTAACAAGAAACACCTAGGGGAAACATGTGTAAAAAGTCATTACTTTATTAAAAAAGGTTTAAAAGATGTAGAAGAAAACACTGAAAAGCATGATAATCTGCAGAATGTTAGTTTAGAGTCAACACATAAAGATTATAAAAACATAACTCAAGGAGAAAACGAACGGGAAAATACGGACAAGAAGCTGTACAAAATGTCATCTGACACATCAGAAGATACACTCTTAAGTGACAACAGCCTAACATTAGACAGTTTTGATGCCAACCTCTTGGGTGCAGCCCATCAGTTGAAAACTCTGGATGAAAAGTTGGAACTTCCAACAGTAAGTTTGTTCGAATTATTCTGATCAAGCCCAAAGACCATGTACAAGGATAATTAACATAATGCTTCCTATATATATATACTAAATGTTGTTAAACTAGAAAAACAAATACCAGAATTATTGTATCATATATTTTAGTTAACACAGATACTTAGCCATCTTTGTGTTTGCTAAGTTAAGGAGGACATTTTAATATTATTTGACATACACCCCTATAGACAACAAATTACTACTTAGCCCTAAAGTGCTCTCATTGCATGTCCACTCTAGATAAAAATAATTTAAACCCATGCTTTATGTTTCAGGAACTCATATTGTTTCCTTTCTTCTGTAAAGTGCTAAATTCCAATACTGCTAACAGCAACTCATTCCATAAGCCAGTCAGTCAGTTAGAAAAAATATAACTTGTGTGACTGGAACATAAACATTCCTTATCCAAGTCTTAAATTTAGGTCCTTCCTTTGTATTACTTTTTAAAAATGTAGCAAACAGAAATCAGAGGCTTTTATCATAAAGATTACTTAGATAATCTTGTAAACTTCAATAAGATCACTTCTTACCTTTCTTTTCTCAAGATAAAAGAAGTTAGAGATCTTAATCTGTCACTGTAAGAAAACCATCTCCAAAATCATCCTAGTAGCCCACCTCTGAACCCTTTCTTAGATAAAGAGACCAAAACTGTACAGTGTCTGCGAAGTGAAGTTTTCTAGTCAGTATGTGTAACGTTCTTTTAGCCTTACTTCTAGCACCAGAACACTGCTTTGATGGTCCAAGTGATTTCTCCAGAACTATCCCAAAGTCCTTTTTTTTCAGTCACTTTTCTGAGAGGGTTCATATCTGTGTTAAATATGTGAACAACAATTATAACCCAAGTTAATGTCGAACAATAATGACATTTTCAGTTTTTTTTTATTGGCTGTAAATTAGCATGATAGATTTCATCTGAATAATTAAAATATATGGAATTTCTTTAAGTTTATCGAGATTGCTCTCCATATCTTGATCTCACAGAAACACATAAATATGAATCTGGATTGTGAAAAACTTTGTATTGATACTCTCTATGCATGATATTATTTCTCTGTATAACCTTCAGACCAGCTTATTCCCTTCACATAGTATTGTTTTTCTATACTGCCTACAGACCAGCTTATTCACTTTATGTAGTATTGTTTCTCTATACTGCCTAAAGTGAATAAGCTGGTCTGTACGTAGTATTGTTTCTCTATACTGCCTACAGACCAGCTTATTCACTTTATGTAGTATTGTTTCTCTATACTGCCTACAGACCAGCTTATTCACTTTACGTAGTATTATTTCTCACTACAGGGGGTCCTCATTATATGTTGGAGTTAGGGACCAGAAAGTTGCAACTTATAATGAAACGATTTATAATGGGGAATTTCCCCCATAAGAATAATGGGAAATGGGGGGGATAGAGACTGTAAGAGGGTAAACATTGTCTATGCAATGCAAATCGAAGCAATTTCTTCTATAAGAAACAATGAAATATGTTATTGAATAGGAACCATAATGTAAGAAAATGTTATGTTTTATACCTAGCAACTAAAATACGTACTATACACATACAGTACCTGTACTATACTATATACAACACATAATGTAGACATATTTATAACTAATTCTGAGTTCAAGGACCTTTAAAGAGCATTTATATTTATCAAACACTTCATTGAAATCCATTTTTATGAGGTTTTTGAAGCAGCAATTAAAACGTTTTCCTTATTTAATAGAAGACATTTTTGTGACATTTTTAAGCAATGACTCAAACAGAAAACCATTTTTAGTGTAAAAAATCATAGAATATTAAACAGCATTTTAAAAAGATTTTAGCATAACCTTTAATTTTTATATTCTTATCTTGGGGAGTGTATGCGTTGTGCTTGATTGAAGAAAGTACTGGGAGAGGATTAGATGGAGGATGAGAAGGGAGATGCAGCTGTAAGGTCATCAACATCACTGACATCCTCCATCTTTATAGAAGACGTAGACTCAGGATTTTCCTTCATTTGAGTGCCAGAAGGGTCTGCTTTGGGTTCCTTGGGTGTTTTTTAAGATAATGAGTCCGGGGTTGTATGCTTTCCTACTTTGAGTTTCGAATTTAAAATTTCAATTTAGCATGCCAAAGAATCTCTAACAGTCCGTGTCACCTTTGCAGATCAATTCAAAAGGGTGTCATGTTTTTGAATAATATCGATCGCAGCTTCGGCATGCTCAAACATATCTCTTAGCACCTGGACTATGAAGCCTTTCTGTTGAAGAAAATCCTCATCGTTATCATCCATAGTTTCTTCTTCAAAACTATGTTTATCTAATTCAGCAAGATCTTCATTGCTTAGAAGCATACCGTACTACTCCAACAGCTCTTCGACATCATTTTGCACTATTTCACCATGTATGTGTGACGTGTCATCAAATCCTTCAAAGGAATGCACTGCATCAGGATATGCTTTCTTCCACAAACTGTTCATTAGGTGATTCGAAACTTCATCAACAAAGTAGAGTCAAAAAATCTCAAACTTCTTCCAGAATTCTTGGACTGTTAGTTTCACTGATAAGTTTCTGGAATGTTTTTCTCAAATAGTAGTCCTGGAAGCATGTAATGACACCCTGGTCCATTGGTTGCATAAATGATGTTGTCCTTAGTGGCACAAATACATCTTTTATGTTCAGACACAACTTTTCAAAATCCAGGTCGTGAACACTAGCATTCTCTAACATGACAAGAATCTTGAAAGTAAGATTATTTTCCTCATGGTACTTTTCCATTTCTGGCAAAAAATGACCCACCACCCATTCATGGAAAATCTGCCTCCTTATCCAGGCCTTGTGATAGGATTTCCATATTACAGGAAGCTAGGATTTCACAACATTTTTCAGTGCTCATGGATTTTCACTTCTGTACACGAGCAATGGCTGTGCTTTCTTGTTATTATTAGCATTGCCTCCTACAAGGAGAGTTAAGCAACCCTTTGAGGCCTTGAAGCTGGGTGCAGTCGTTGACAGTAATATATGTCCTAGAAGGTATGCATTTCCAAGGCAGCCTGGTTTCTTCAACATTAAACACCTGTCTAGGATTATATCTACCTTATTCAATGATTTTTTAAGTTTTTCTGGAAACATTTTTACAGCATCTATGTTGGCGCTGGCTGACTCTCCCTGAATTTTGAAACTATATTGTGCCTAGAATCTGTAAAACCATCTACGTGTAGCCTTGTATGTTTTTTCTTTAGCTGCTGCTTCTCCCAACTACTTTTTTGAGTCATCATACAAGCTTAGCACCTTCTCCTGAATGAGGGCTAAGCTGATTGGCATGTTCTTGTTGTGAAGAGCCTCAATCCATAACACCAGCAATTGTTCCATTTTTTTCTATGATAACACTTTGTTGTGTAATTTTAACCTCTGCATGCTTTAAAGAGTGCTTAACTTTATTTTCAATATCCTCAGCATTCTTCACTATCGTACGTACACTTGTCGGAAGAAGTTTCAAATAGCACCCAATATCAACCACACATTCACCATTTCTATTACACTTTATTACTTCCATTTTAACATTGAGCATAATACTTTTTTGCTTTTTCTTCACCTGCACTGTCACTAGTACTAGGTTTGCTTTGCTATAAACACACTGATTACAATGAGCACTCACACCGGCCACTCAGCGCAAGAGAACATGCAGGTACTGAGCAATCCCATTCCTTCCCTCCCTTTATGTGACGTATCTCAACAAGTGGGTGGTTGCATTCAAAATTTTATTAAACTAACTTTTGTTTATGTTATACCAATTAGTATAGCATAAAATCTTGGCTAGTAATCCATATTTTAATTGTATATAAGTTTAAATTTCTTAACTCTCTCAACATGGGCTTGGTCAATTTGACCGACCATGTGACTTCTTTGTACTCGATTAAAGTCTTTATAGATATAATACTTCTAACTTTCAATATAGTGTGTGTATCTTAACAAAATTTGGTAGTCTTTCAGTTCGTATTATAAGTCTTTCACATACAAAATAAAAAAAATTTAATGAAGTATGTATGTTTAATAAAATAATATAAAGATTTGTCCATGAATATATTGAGTATTTGTTTTGAATAGTCCGTGTGC